AGCGTCAATCAAATAAATGGCATCACCAAGGTTCGTCACATCCACAGAAATTTCGACAGGAACACAGTCGGGTGAAGGTTATGCTGATTATGGCATACGATTGGGACGGTGTGATTCTTACACATGCTGTACCTGAAGGACAAAGCGTCAACACAGATTACTCTTGCTGATTTCTACAGCATCATCTGCATCCAGCTATGAGGTGCAAATGTCCATGTTAATTGCACAACAATCTCCTTATCGCATTGCATGACAACGCTCGTTGCCATGTCGCAATGTCACTCTCCTTTTGTGACAGTGGAAGTGGGAAATCCTAGAACACCCTCCCTACTCACCCGACACGAGTCCTTGTGATTTCGATCTGTTTCTGAAGTTGAAGGAACCCCTCTGAGACAAGTCCCCGATTTCATCTGTACTCCACGCAGTACGGCGCTCAGTCGCTCACATCAACAATCAACACCTTGCCACTGGTCTACAATGGCTTCCCGAAATTTGGCAAAAGGTTATAAGCTTTGTTGGTGATAGAAGGAATATAATGCAATTGTACTTGTAAGTTCATTAAAAATTGATTTATACCTATGTTGCCTTACTTAATTTACAGCCCTCGTATATCCAGCATACTTAGAATAACAGGAAGATTTAATAATACAGTTTTGTGGAAATTATTATGGATTTCTAAAACTCTTGTCACCAAAGTCTATGCTGTTACAATTAAGAGTGATTTATTATACTCAACAACATTTAATGACACTTTAATATTACATGATTTAATGATCCAAAAGATTTATGATGAATTACATTTTAACTAATATTAGTATATTCCAATATCTAGTACTTTTCAATTCTTTGGGGCATTCTTTTGATAAAGAATTTGTGGTGCATCTGTAGATGATTATTATAATCTCCTATTCTCTGGGTTTTTAAAATTACTTGATCTAGTTTTGTTATTTCTTCACAGATTTTATTTTTGAAATATTCCATATTCTTTCACTGTGATTTATATCTCCAGGCTAAACCCTTGGAAGTAAAATAATTTTTCAGGATCCTTAATATATGGCAGAGGGCATTATTGCTTTGTTGAAAAATTGCACTTCCTTGAAGAAGTCATATATTAAACTGTGAAAATAGATGTTTCTCCAAGATAACCTTGTAGTGAGTTTACATTCCTTTTAATTATTTCAATGTATCTGATATCATGAACAAATGCAGCAGCAAATCATGAAAGATGGAGACTGGTTAAAATGCAACCTTCCTTGCTTTTCATTGCCTTGTACAAATATCAATACATTTAATTCTGCCATTAAGTATTTACACTGAAGTATCATTAGGAGGAATCCCTATCAACAAATAAATATCAAGAATAATGGAAGATATATTTCCCGATCATGAAGCAATAAAGTAAATGTCTTTAAAAGATTACAAAATTAGTATAATGAATGTGAGTAAAAAAATATTAAATTCTGAATAAATACCTTGCTCCAATCTTGAGAAATCCATATAGCATAAGCCTGGGGCCCAATAAATCCTTTTTTTTAGTTTTTTAAATAGCAGTGTCAACTTAGGCCTGTGGCCTATGAAATTTTAATTCAGCATTCACAGGGCATTTTCTCACAATATTGAGTGATATGTTGAGTGATGCACCATGATCTTTCCACATTCATTTTAACTGTGTGAATAATAATCTCGATTTTTACAACTCATTCTTATATGTTTGCTGTCCAGACTTTCTTCATCATTTTCATACCCATATTTGCCTAAATGTTTTTTGGTTACAAATTTTCATTTTTTCCTATCTTTTTTCCAATGTTACCTATAATTTTAAATAAAACTTTAAGTTTTTTTAGCAATACCTTTTGTTTCAGATCATTATTTTTTTGTCATATCTCAATTTATCCTCTTAATATCTTATTTAAATCTTTTTGTTTATTGATTTGAGTTTCCAATAAATTTAGTAAAATAACAATACAAAAATAAAAAAGCTAGACATTTACACAAATATATATAATATATATATATATATAATATATATTATATAAATCTGATGTGTACACCCCATGACTTCCTTGTACAGAATATTAAATTACACATATTTTTTCTTGCATTTCATTTAAACTTGTTGGGTTGAATTAAATCTACATCATTGATAGTGCATAAACCACAATAGAATAAATGCACTCTTGAAAATTCACTATATTTGTTTACCATAGCGACACTCTGGCGCTAGGTTTGCTTAACAGCGTTATATTTCGTTCATATTATAACTCAGAAAGCACAAAATTTATATCATTTGAAGAATTATCTAATCGTTGCCACATGTTCTATTCAAATACTCTAATATATCTAGAACAATGTCTAAAAGAAATTAAGCCAACAAAACAAAAAGAAACAGTTTTTCACAGACAATTCAGTATTTCTCATTCAACTAATTCAGTTCTCACTTCGCGACAAGGCAAAAATAGATAAAAACTCAAAATATCTGCATTAAGAATTACAAAGTAAATCTTAAACACTTATTTCCTCGAAAAATTCCAGAAAGGATTAAGCATGACTTAATTTGCAATAATAAATGAAGGCGTTATCTTTGCTGTTGAGAAGCTTAGTCTCTCTGGATTGGCAACAAATCTACTATTCTGCTGTTTCAAATGTAAACAAATTTGTCCGCCATGTTATTTAAAAGGCTTAACCACATTTGAATAGCTATTAAATTGTTGATAATTGAACAAATACTGCTTGCAGATTTACCAAAGGCATACAAACCTTAACCGGAAGATGAGAACAATATAATTCAATCAATTTTAAAGCAAAAAAATGCACAATTTATAAACATATAAGAGTAAAGAAACTGAGATCACTGAGCTAGGTAACAGAGTGGCTATATATATAAATATATTTATATACGTTTGGTGCGGCTGATGCAACCAAAATACGAGGTGCACATCTACAAGTTATAGCAGTCCTATATGTAAAATTTTAACGTTCTGAAGCTACTTGTTTTTGAGTTATGCGAGATACGTACGTAAAGATGCCACGAAAAATTCTCTTCAGAATTCATTTTAAAGCAGTTTTATAATTTTTTTGGAGGAAAAGAGTGTTTTATTCTATCTTTACGTACATATGTCATGCAAAAACATCGTTAAATTGCATTCGATAGCGGTCAAAATGGATATTTTCGTTGAAATATGCTGCCTGAAACTTTTCGCGATTACAATACTTCCTTTTTATTTCATACAAGGAAGTAAATAAAACAACAAATTGAAATGAATGGATAAAATTTAACAAATCTAAAAATTACTACCAGTGAAATAATGAAATACGTTTAATTATTAAAATAAAGTCAACCATTCTGACAAGAAAAAAAATATGCATAGAATTTATTTAAATGCAAGAAAGTAGAAACCTTTTTAATTTCTATTTGTTTTTTAAAAAAAATTCTTTACAAATTTGTTTGCTGAAACAAATTGCTGATAAGGTAACTTTTGTAAATTATCTAGATCATGATAAAAAAAAAAAAATCAATACTTTGCATAAGATTAAAGATGTTAAGATAAAATTTATGTTATCCACATGGCATAAAATCCTATATCTTTTGAGATAGTTTTCAAAAAGAAGACAAATAGACTGGAAAATGTTCAAAGAGAAGAGATTTGTTCTTAGTGTTTATTGAATATTTTTCTAATTTATCTCCTCACAATATTATCTCAAATTTTGCCCACAAGAGTATATTCTGAAAATTTTAATGGTACTATTTATAATTAATTAAAAAAATACAGCTTATCAACACTGAAGATGTTATACAATAATATTATTTTGTTAATTCAAGGATTCTGATGAAAATGCAGGATATTTTTTCTTATGTCTTCAGAGAAAAGGTATTTTTAAATTTGTTCGAATTTTTTATTTGGTTTTAAATTGTACTTTCATGATTCATGATATTTTATAATATTCCTTAATAAATTCATTCATTTCATTATATTGCAACATTGTACAGCAAGATACAGCTCCCAAACTGTCTGTAAGTGATTTTTTATTTATAAAATGATAATATGATAATATGTACACATTTTTTTTTGAGTGCAAATCCTATAAAAAATATGGCACTTCCGATTAGTTAATTTAAACGCATGCCAATTAATAAGAAAACAAATAAAACATAAGCTGGGGTTATATAAAATATGATGCAAATATGATGTACATCTTGCTTTAATACAATTACACATTAAGAAAACACTAAATATGAATGTTTATAATTCGTGCTTCAAATGTTCAGATTCAAACTCAAAATACCCCCACATGAATGCTTTATAAATACTTTTTATTCACTTCGTTGATACAGTTAATTAATTATGCCTACACATTCTAACCCATAAGATTTTGTTAATATTAAGAGTGAAAATTATGTATGATTATTCATGTACTTGTTAGGGGAGGAAGATATGGCCATAAAATAGCTTTATAAAATGCTATTTAATAGAAATAATAATTATAAATGTTATTTAATATTTAATTTTAGTATTTTTTTACAAATGCTATTTAAAAGAAATGCCTCACAGTTTTTACGTTACATAATGAAATTTCCAAATTAGCTAAAACAATTATTGGAATTTCTAGAATATTAAGCATAAGGTCATGGTAGTCATTTAAAACTACCAACAAGTAATAATCAAATCCCTCAAACTAAATTGGGATTGAAGATAAATAAATAAATATAATTAGTTAAGTTTAAAAATATGAATTACTTTTTAAATTGAGGCTACAATAACTAACATTATTATATCAATTTTTTTCCTTTTTATTGCAAAGAAAAATTGTAGAGATACTGCTCACCATATTTGTAATTGAAATTTTATGAATTTTTATTTAAAAGATTCATAAGTTACTTCAGTTCAATAGATTAAAAAAATTTCATACAGGGAAAAAAAAAAAAAAAAAAGGCATAGTGTTACCCTGAAAATTTTCAGAACACTATACCTAATGTATCTAAATTATAAAATAAAGGATCATATAACACAATTTTTAAATTGTTTCCCAAAATTGGGAAAAAGAAATTAAGGAAATTCTGTGTTTAAAACCAAAGATTTATAGAATAAAGTCTCACTTGAATTCCAAGTCTCATTTGAATTTGAAAATTCAGATCTATTTGACTAATCAGTTTCACTTTGATAAGAAGATTGTTTTGGTGCACCTATGTATGTTATATACACACATTTAGGTTTCATGGATTCAGGAATTTGCAGGACATATATGGACACTTTCAGAGCTTCATAGTAGTTCACTTTTAGTGCTGGCTGGGGCATTATTTTTCACTTGTGAAAATTATTTGGGCTATAAAAACTGCACTCAGTAATTCAATGACAAGGACTAAATGAGGTAACAATGGAGTACCAACTGCTACACATTCAGAGTTATTTTCCTGAAACAGAAATTGAAAGTACTTGAAGAAATGAATACAAATGTGCAATTAAAAATAATAGCACAAAACAGATTGAAATGCTATGAGTCACTGCTAAAAGTTATTATCACATACATATATAATGATAAATTCAATATACAGTACAAAGTCCATAATCTGGATGTCCATTATCCGGAATGATCTATAATCTGGACCTCAAAGCCACAAACTTTACGCATGCGCGTAAAGAATGCGCATACATTATGCTTTACGCATGCACGTGTTGAAAGAAATGTTTAATACAGTAAACAAATAAATATTAAGCTTTTTTTTTTTGTAAAATTTGATACCCTTTAAATCATAATTGCTCTTTATTTCATAAATTATGGTTTCATATTTTTAATTGTATAATTTCTGCATGCCATCTTACCAGATTTAAATTGATGATCTATAATCCGGAAAAACCCCTAATCCAGAAAGTTCCAACGAGTCCGGATTAAGGACTTGTACTGTATTAAAATATTTCATATGATTAAAAATTGCTTGGCAAAAATAATAAGCATTATCTTTCTTAAGATGTTATGCATACAATAATTCCATTCTTAAAAAAAAAAAAAAAAAAAAAAAAGAAAAAAAAAAAAAAAAAAAAGAAAAAAATTCTGAAATTTTTTAAAAATCTTTATTTATACTTCTTTTTTTTGGGGAGGGGGTGAGGACAAGCTATTTTGAATGAAACAAATTCTTCTTAAATAAGAATTCATCAAACTCTCAATAACAAAACAATTATTGATTAGTGAAACCTTTTAAACATAAGTATTTATTCACATAAAATTACAGTCAATTTTTATCCAAAAGTGTATTTTATACTATGATAACTAAAGGTGGATCTGAAGCCAACAAAAGAGTACACTGTGAATAATGTATGTGCATATGTAGCACACTGTGAATAATTAAATGATTTTTAGTTCAAGAATGGAATCTTTATTTTGAAGAAAATGTAAGGGTGTATATTTAATTTAAATTTGAATACTGGCTAACACAATGAATATAACATAAGGAATAATCAAATAAATTTTATTCTCAGTTTAAAAACCCTAATAAAGAAATTATTCATCAAGTAAGAAACTTATTTATTAAATAAAAAGTAAAAAATTATTAACATATATTATTTGCTTAAAAAGGTGGTGTATAAAAAAACCATCAGATTATCCTTCAAAAAATAATAATTTTACTGTAAATTTGATATGCCTGAAATAAATTACCAGAAATTTTTAGCAGGATAAATAATGTGCAATAATGGCCTTCCAAAGGAGTACAAACTTATCCCCAAACCAATTTTTACTAATACAAGCAATAGGAATTGTATTACATTTGTACACTTACACTTGGGCTGTAATAATAACATTTTTCAGGTCGTCTTCTGTACCTCAAAGGACTATTACAAGGATTATACCCAATGCCTACAACTAAATAAAAACCAATTATTAATATAAGCTACTTAGATATAACAATCTGAGATTATTTATATTATAATTTAAAGGTAATAAATAAATAATTGTTTAGGTTAAGATAAAATGTTTAATAGTCATACTAAAATTAAAACAGAATAGCATTTTTTTTTTAAAAAAGCTTTTACTTAAAATGGATAATTCATGCACTAAAAGGAGAATAGTTGAATGTGAATAACAGATTAAATAATTCTATTTACAAAATTTATGTACAATTTTATTGTGAATAGAAAAGCATAAGGTGACTATGATACATTAAAAAGAAGGTAATGGCTTATACATGTGACACTGAAATTAAATTAAAAGATTTCATCATTTAGGCATTCCACGTTTTTATTATTCACAATACAAAATCACAGTTGAATTCTGTAAATAGCATTATTTAATGTGTTATTCTCATTGAACTATATGATAAATTATTTTCCCTCCTTTTAGTGCATTAATTATCATATCCATTTTAAGTAAAAGCTTTATGTATAAAAACCTTTTTTTAGTCATATTTTATTTTCTGTTTTTCAGTCTCAATTACACACTATCAATGACGAACTGCTTAGTTAACTTTCTGAAGCCGGCTGGTACAGCAGTTGTACCAGGAAAATGACCTTCCATGCCGGCTCTGGTACAACTGTCGTACCACCCATTCCCTCCCTATTTTAGAGAATCACCTATCTGTAGATCTCAGAGTGGTCCATTGTTGCTGCTCAGAATAGCAGCTGGCTATGCATTATTTCCCTCTTCTTATCAGTTTGGCTACATTTTGGCAAAAACCGCAGGTTTCGCCTCGCACCAATATACTTGAAAATCAAATAGAGGCCATCTCTAATTTTTTTAGTAAATGACTTTTGCTATGATTAAAATGTCAAGCAATTTTGCACGCTGTTTAAGCTTACCAGATTTAATGCTTTTTAATCATAGCAAATAAGAATAGATTAATTTTTTAGATTTAATGCCCTTCTAGAAAATAGCTAAAACTGCTTTTATCGTTTACTTCCTTTTTATACTTATGAATAAAAAGATTTTATTTTGAAATTTTTTTTGGAGTGCATAAAACCCTTAAGAACTGTTAACTCTTTCAAAGTGCTTCTATTATATAGGCAATTTTGTCTAATTTATCAAGAGATAAATAAGAGACAAATGAATAGTTTTTGCGATTTTCATTCATTCAATGATTGCTTTCAATGATTTTCATCGATTGTAAATTAAATAAAATCAATTCATCTTTAAACCCTTTTTTAAGATGAGATCTGCCCAAAAAGTGTTTAAATATCAGTAAAGCTCACATTACTTCTAAATTGAATCAAAACATCAGTTCCATTGTATAAAATTTCAGCCAGTTTTATTTGCTGAAATTCTTATACTCCTCAAGAGATAAAGGGAATTCAGACAAGTTAATAAAAAAAAAAAATCTTTAAAAAAGCTTGTTATTTTGTCTGTAGTAAGGTGTATGTCAACTTACTATTAAATGTATGAGAATTAGGATTGAATTATGGAAAAGCATGCGAACGCTATCTGCTTAAGGGAATGGATGCTTTCGTGTAAACCTTTTTTAAGAGAAAATTGCTAGAATTTATGTTCCTGGTGAAAAACTGCACATGTAATCAACCTGTTCTTCGGGTTTGATTGGATTAATTTTGTTTGCTTACTGAATTACATCAAAGCATACAACAATTACTTGTATAAGGGGAGGGATGGCTTCGCAGAGGACTTTCTAAGGGAAGCTGGCTTGCATTTACGTTACACAAAAACCATGAATCCAACCCTTTAGCCGGGATTCAAACCCGAGCGAGCTACAAGTGTTCAGCCCACCTTTACCGCTCTACTGAAGCGGCTCCATAAAAAAATTGATAAAAAAAGGAAAAAAAAGTATTGAAATAACCGTTTAATTTACTAACCTATATTTCTCAATCGACAGTACATAAATTACGCATATGAGGGGGATTTTTTTTTTTGTGAATAAATAAACTGTATTGCACTTTTATCCCACTATTTCATATTACAATGGAATTATTGCATTTCAAAGTTATTTCTCATGAATTAATTTTGCTCCATTCATGATTTTTTATATTTTCAAAGAGAAAATTTCGCACTTTAAATAAAAAAAATACACGAGAAGATACTTTATGCAAAATTTGTCGTAAACGGTTTTCTTAATTTTGCTTTGAAAACATTCCAGGGTAAATGTTTTCATTACTGGAAGAAATATGAAAAACAGATTTACTACATCGTAAGTGTCAACACCCAGTATATCCTTATTCTTTTGAAAATGTGAAAGATTACTCTTTCTAAAATAAATTAGAAAATATATTATGTGCAAATAGAATATTCGTTGAAAATGAAATAGACTTCAACCTTGGATATAACGATGGTTTTAGACGAAATTTCTACCTATGAAAAGAAATTGACCTATAATTAATTCTTCATGAACATTTAAAACTGTTCTGAAAAATACTTTTGATGACTGCATGTATAGGTCACAGATTTTTTTTCTCTGCTAATATAAACAAAAGCCAATTTTACAAAGAAAAATTCTCGTTAAAGATATATCTCCTTTGCCTGATAGTCCAATGTAATATTTGTTAAGGTTAAGTGATGAAATGCAACCAATGTATCTCGGATTTTCTTTTTTATATTATAATAACAAAATTATCGAAAAAAACAGATTTAAATCTCTGTTATTGTCATGTAAAGCTTAATTATTGCTGTAAATTCATCTCAAAATCTAATCATCTAATGGTAATAAATATGATTACTATTATTTCATTAAATTAGTCATTACCATTATTTTGTTAATGAAAATATGTGATTAAAAATCACATTCCAGCCGGCAGACTTACAAAGCTAGTTCGTATTTATTATATTTTGTTTGTAAATTTTTTTGTTCTTGTTTTCTAATTTCTAGTACGAAAATATGAAATATAAATGAAGAGTGAAAACAAAGTTAAAAAATTCACAAATTATTTACGAGATTGATCAGAAATAGTGAGTGCATACATTTTGTTCTAAATAAATAGTGCATTGGATATGCATCCAGTACTGCATATTTATTTATGCACTATTTATTTAGATATTCATTTAAACGAAAGCAAAATAATCATCGGAAAAAACCCAAATCTAGCAACCCATCTACTATGGTACAGTGTCCGACAAACATGTAAATTTTACTGCATCTATGGAGGGGGACTAACGACTTTTCTCATTAGGAAATTGTCAAAGAGGGGACAAAACTGTTTCGGATCGTGCCAGTCTGAAGGCTATATTATGAGAATTTCCGTCCGGTTTTAGATGGTTAATAATAAAACACTAGCAATAAATTATACGGAAAATACAAAATACAGAAAAATAACTAAACATCATTCAGAACAAAGAAATCACTTTAAATATGCAGTTTTGGAAATTGGATGCAATAACAAAGTTACAATAATATTTTACTTGAAAGCTAAAATGAAAAAAAATGAGTACTGTTAATTTATCATTAAGTGCACCAAGATGGCAAACTTAAAAATCCTTCTTAATTCCACCTGTTTCAGACTGCAAAACATTTAAACAAAATTCAGAAAATCACTCAATAAATATTTTTTAAACCCTCTTGTTTTAAAGAGAGAGCAAAAAGTTTATTTCATAATCTGTGAATAAACTTTATATCTGACATGTTGTTAGATGTTGAAATTTTAAAATCATAAACATCAAATCTAAACATTCAAGCAATTTTCAAAAATTCAGAAATGAAGGTACAGTTTTGATAAAAGTTTCAACGAAAAGTCCCCCCCCCTCCATTCAATTGTGCAAACAGTAAAATTCTGACATTATTTAGTTCGTTTGCTAAACAAAAATATGTTCAAAAAATCATTTAAACATCAAAGAAAAAAAAAATCTAAATTAAATTTTGAAATAATTTCTTCACCTCATCGCATTATCATCAATTAACAGTGTATGTACACAATTTGAACTCTTTTGTTTATCAAGAAGTATGTTAAAAATTTATGACAAAATTTAGTTTTATGAAAAAGGCTTTATGAATATATTACAGAATATAGCGAAATGTTTAAAAATATACTTATTTATTACGAAGCAAATGAAAGAAATATATCAAGGAAATATGCATACTAAATCATTCAAAAGGCAGAGTTTAAAAGTAAATATCAGATTTAAAAAAAATACCCAATTTGCAAAAGAAATTTATAACAATACATCATTCCTAAGAAATATTATGTCTACAGCATCCTAAATAAAACTGGGTAATTAAGAATTACACTTGATTAAAAGTCTTTAACCAATACAGTTATTCATAATGATGTACAACCACACAATATAGTGATTTCAAAAGAGAAGGGAAATAGTAAATTTTGTTTCTAAAAGGAAAGATGAATAATAGTTCACCACCAAATGGACATTAAGGTGATTTCTAAAGACAGGGGAGATAGTAAATTTTGTATCTGAAAGGAAGGATGAATAATAGCTCACCAGCAGGTGGACTTGAGAGCTATGGATTGATAAAATTATACATAATATATGAGAAAGAAACATTTTCTGCAAAAACAACAGATCAAGATAACTATATTTTGATGGCTGTTAAGTAACCTTCAAGTACAGTAAAAAGTGTTTAATCCGGATGTCCATAATCCGGACCTCAAAGCTACAAACTTTCTGAACATGCATAGCGTTTACACATGCACATAATACCTTTATGCATATGCATAATATGTTTATGCATGCACGTTTAATGTATAACGGACGGTATAAGCTAGGCTAAAATTATCTAATTATCTATTTCAGTTAATGTTGCAGATTGCGCTGTTCCTTAATCTTCTAATGGGATCCGTCTTATTATTTTTTGGAGACTGTCAGAGCAATTTTATAAAAAGTAAGCTTGAACTTCCGATTATGTCAAAAAGAGTTTCCGATTCTGGAGCTGCCAAAGGATCTACAAAGTGAAAGCATGTTTCGATGTCCATCAAACAGAAAGTGAGAATTGCTGCAAAAAATGGATAAAGGCATGAAGAAAGTAACAGAGAGGTTAGTGAAAACGAAAAAATTTTGATTGACGAGATAGTCGGTATTCTCGGCAAAGCAATTACGGGACTTGAACAGCGGAACGTTGTAACTGAACAAGAAATTATGATTGTTTATAGAATTAAAGAGAAAGTATTAACACATAAAATGAAGCAACTTAAACAACTTACATTGAAAGAAATGTTTAATAAAGTAAACAAATAAATATTAAGCTTTTTTTTTTTTTTTTTTTTTTTTGTATGATGATTTGTAATCCGGAAAAACCCCTAATCCAGATTCGCTGAAGTCCCGACGAGTCCGGATTAAAGACTTTGTACTGTAGTAACCTTCAAGTACCGCTGTGTGTTGTTGGCATAACACAGCAAAAATTTCACTGATCGGTGAAAGCCAACCTAATTTTTGATTTCTTTTCTTAACCCCTTTGGGAAGCAGTACCATTTTATTCTAGTCACGAGATTTTTTATCATTTCATACATATTAGCTTATAATTTAAAACATCTTGTTCTCTTACTCTTTTTAATGATGCAAGTACCATCTTAATGACTGGAAGTTTATGAAAACAGAGACTAAAACAAATAATTAGAAATTTAGTTCATAAATACTGTTTAAATACAGGTTATGAGCAAATACAAAAAGGCCACACTTCTCAACAGGTTAAGAAAGACAGTTTTTCTTTATTTGTTTTTATTACTACTGGAAACATGAAGTTTTAATTACTTGTGAGGATTGCTCAATATTTTTATTTTCTTGGCCTTTTTGTGAAAATATTCGGATTTACACCTAGCATTTTTCATTTTTATGAATTTCATGATTTTCCAGATAAATGGGAATTCTGTACATCAAAAACCTAATGTACTTCAGTTGTATCTATAATTAACCTACAACCAACTGTATTTCTATTGTATCTATAATTTATCAAAAATTAAATGGTAACAGAATTAAAACATATTTATAATATTCCTGGGAAGAAAGGGGAAAAAAACAGCATTAAGAAATTTCAAAAAAGTTTCAGACCTTCTTCTTTGGCTTTTAGCAATGGATAATTAGGTTCACATAAGTTAGGATCACATGGTTTTGAAGTTACTAACAATAAAGCATTCATCTGTCCCACTTTTGCCAATGAATATTGCCTTTAGAAAGAAAAAAGAAAATATACATAGCATATCAAAAAATATAAAATATATATATATATATATATATATATATATATATAATAAACAAAATAACTTGCAATACACTGCATAAGAAATTCCAAAATTTTAATACACTTAGTAAAAAGTTCTTATTACATGCATAATAACAATGGAACAAGACATCTAATGATTTTAAAAAAGTATGAAATCCAATAGAAAATTAGCAATGCATTTAATAAATTAGTATTTGTTACAATTTATTGTACTGAACTTTGTTCAAAATAAATTCCACTTGAAAATCAATACCATAGAAGTGAATTGTTTAATTTAGGCAAAGCATCCAGCAAGTTTCCCATTGTCTGAACTTCTATTTGAAGCATCTCATAGATAAGCAATAGGATAAAATGTAAAAAATTATGAAAGCTATGCTAATACTATAAGCAATATTTGAGATTTGTCTGTTTATTTGTTTAATAGCAAAGCACTTGATAACTATCTATTTAAGGGAATGCATGCCTTCGTGGAGGACTTTCTAAGGAAAACTGGTTTGTATACATGTTACACACGCAGAAATCTATGGAGCCAGCCCATTCACCAGGATTTGAACCGCTTACCAAACTACCATTGTTCAGCTACTTTATTGCTTGACAGATGGAGGGCATTTCACATTAGTATTGAGTAGCATGAACCCTATGAGGTATCTAAACAATTAGCAAAGGCATATTTTTATGAAAAAATTAGACATGGAATAATAAATTAACAGTGACATTTAATCAAATCATTAATACTAAATACAAGATAGCAACTTTCAAATGGAGCTGGAACTAGGCATCCAATAGAAATTCTGACATTTTTTAATTCTACCACATGGTTTGGATAAATAGGACAGCCCTGAATGGAAAATATTACTGAAATTTATAGACTGCAGCAAGTTTGTTGTACTTTTTTTTTAATCACAGTTAAAAACATATTATTATCAGAATCTAAAATATATGTAAACATAGTAAAATAATCACTTTGGTAAAAAGTTGCTACTTCTGCTACCACTTTTACTTTGCCCATGAAACAGTGATACTGGGCAAATTAAAAGTGAATTATGAAGCCACCTGTTTTTACATTAAAGTTGTTTAATTTTATAAACTATGCATAGATCTAGTACAGTTTAGGTAGTTTGGTATAAAAACATACTGAACAGCACTGCTAAAAAATTCAGCTGATATACACACAGCAACATGACAGTTTTTCAATGTGAAGCCTAACTGGAAAATTGTTAGCATTGCACATTTATATGCCCCTTTCATAAATCAAGGTAATCAACATTAAAAACAGACATTTTAATAATTGACAAATGCAAATTACATAAATTGATAAAAAAATAAAACAGATAAACGAGGGGAAAATAGTTTACACGTTAATTTTAAAAAGTTTCTGCTCCTGAAGTTTTTCTACCATTGTTTTGTTTCTAATGCAATGAATACCTCTACAGCATGTTAAAAAGGATATACTGAAAAGCCCAAATTCATACAGCTACTTCATGATGGATCAATGGAATACAAATTCCTAATTTTCTTGAGTAAAATATTTTTACAGCATGTCTCTTATTATAAACTGAGACACTTCTTGCTCTGATTTTTTCATCCATGCCAAAAGAATGTTAAGAAAAGGTTGCAACATGTATATCACATAACATGAGCACTGTAGATAAATTAAATGACATACCATAAGACTGTTGATAAACTAATATTTGGACTGGAATTGATTTCAGAAACCAGTTCTGGAATGCCGTAATTAGCATTCAAATATTTTGTATTTTAGCTGTGATAAGCCCTTTGTATCCTATAATAACTTTTATTTAAAGAATGAAATCTAGAGTTTCTTTGTGTTTTAATTAGCAATATCTTTGAAGCCATGTTTAAAGATTTAATCATAAACGTTAAGGAAGAAAAACTCGTATGATGATATAAATCACTAGACTATCTTTACTTTTATTACAGCTCAGTTAGCCTTTCTTCATATTCATTTCACTATGTCTATGAAACAGAAATCTTTCACACACTTTGATATTTGAGATCTTGAAAGCAGAAGGGAAACACACTGAAACATAAAATTAGTAATACAACAACCTTGAGTTTGGCAGAGATTTAAGTCACAATCTCAATCGATTTCAAGGGCATACAGCTACAGATCCCTCTTCATCAGGAACCTTGCAGATTTCTTTGCTCCTGATGAAAAGGGATTTGTATCTGTTTGCCCTTGAAATCGATTGAGATCTTGACTTAAATTTATGCCAAACTCAAGGTTGTTGTGTTATTCATTTTATTTGAGATCTTATTTGCAGTAGCAATTAAGTTGATATTATCTGATAGCAAAGAATGACACATTATTTATATTAAAGTGACCAGATGCTCCAGGTTGTGTGAGACAGTGCTACATTCACTGCAGGGTCTCATTTCAGGATATATCCCATGCAATATCCTGCATTATGCAACTATTCTTGAAATTTTGAAAATATATTTGCCATGAAACTTGTTAATGACACTCCTATCATCATGACATTTTTGTGGGAACAAAAATACAATCAAAACTCAAATAATTATGCTTTTAGTAAACATAAATATTTCATAAAACATGGAAATGTGTAACAGAATGGTTTTTGAAAAAGTTTGTGGACTTCCATTCCAGTTGTGAAAGTTTACATTTAAGTCTTCTATTGCAGTTCATATTGGAAAATGAACGTGAAATTAAAGCAACTGAAGAATTTTAAATGGATCACCTTGAAAATATTGTAAAATGTAAGCATATAACAGAAAATATCTTTACATAGGATAATTACTGATAAACTATTTAATGAAGTATTATATTTAAAAAATACCAGAAAAATTGAATTATCCCAGTATAAAACTGAAATGGAGTGAGATTTACCAATAATTAGAACAATAATGTTTTTTCAAATCTATAAGAATATTAAGCGAACTTTGCTTTCTAAAAGCAACTGCCTTAATACAATGCCTCTTTCATAGTACATAAAATGAAACCTCTTTTGATGTCAATCTCTCAAAGTGGACAGTATTTCAAAAAATTAAAATGAACACAAAATATTGAATATTACTGATAACTGCATTCTATGAAGCAGCTTCACAGAAAAAGGTAATCATCTGGGAGAGGTTTCACTGTAAAATGTGAGCAACTGGGGACAGATTAAGCATATTATCTATCAAAAATAGTAAAATTATGCTTTAAATAAAATGTCCCCCAACTGCTGAAACTGTTTTATCCTACATTGGCTTTGGAGAAATCTGGTCACTTCACATATATTTAAATTCTGAAATTGGGGGGGGGGACCACACTGCATGTAGTGTTTTATTCACCTGGTGCAATTGATGCAAAACATATCTCCACTGTAGCTCCTACCCCATCTACCCCAATAATACTGAACCTCTCGTGTAGTGCACACAGTATTGTTTGACACCTCATAGAACTTAGGTGCAGCTTCTGTCTTTGGAATTTTCAGCAGCTGAAGAAAACTAATTGAAATAAAACAGTGTGATATTATTAACAGTGATTTATTAAATATTTATTTGAAGTAATTCATTAAGCAAAAATTATTTGAAAACATACCTTAAGAGCCAATACTTTAACTGTGACCTATTAAAAAATAATAATTATTTTTTATTTCATAAAAGGATTTTTTTGATGAAAATTAATTTCTTAAGTTGCTACTAAGATGAAAAAAGAGACAAGTTCTTCCTTCACACTGCACGACTTAAACACTTTATTGATTAAAATATTTTGATAGAGGAAAAGTTAACAGAAATGGACAACTTCTAAAAATATTATTTAATATCACAAGGACTTTTAATATAAAACGTCACAGGAATATTTAACATAAAATATCACAAAAATATTTAAAGAGTGCAAGTAAAAAAAAAAAAAAAAAAAAAGAAGAAGAAGACAGCATCTAAATTTTAAAAATTTGTTTTCAAATTGTATAAGATATACCACTTACTTAATATTAAAATTCTGATATTCAGATGATTTTTATTGATACTTATACAAAAATCCAGAATATTGATTTATCGAATTGATAAGATTTTTAAAATGTTTATTAAAACAACAGATGTTTTAAAAAAAATCAAATCTACTTAATATTCTAACAGCCATACATAAAATTCAGAAGAAAACAACTGCTCTAATCATCAGGTAGAATGCCCAAAATTGACAATTAAAAACAACAAAAAGTTAGAATTCCATACGGACAATTCCTGAAGAAGAAAAAATAAATAAAATAAAAAATAAGACATCAGAATACTATATACTAAAATATATAATACACAGTGGTATAATTTCATTACTACATTAATTTGAATTTTAATTGCTCATGTTTTAAATTCCACAGTGTTTCAAATTTAGCAACGTGCAGTTGCTTAAATCTGGAAGGTTGTACTATAGAAATAAAGTCAACTTTTACTTTGAGGTATGTCTTATTGATACTGTAAATCTATATTCATTAAATGGGTGAAGTTAGTATATACATAAAATTGTACAAAACAGTTTCTTAAAATAGTAGGTTTTAACACAGCAAGGACATTATAAACAATTTCAAAATTTTGGCCACACAGAGCTAATTTTTCAGAATTATAACAATACACAAAGTAAAGTCCAATATATCGGCACTGAATGCACATCAAGAAATGGAAACAAGTTAAAATATAAACAACATACTTATAAAAGAGCTATATTTTAAATGCTTATACACTTTCTTTCCAAACTGATTACATAATAGCTGCAATTAATATCAAAGAGGAAAATTCAAAACTCTTAACCTTTGAATTATAAAACGAAGATTTATTTGATATTAACATAAATATGAAACGTTTAAACATATTTGAAGAATGTTAAGCATGCTTTCATAGTAAAGATATATTTATACACACTATTGTATAGAACTAACACTATTGTATAGAATATAAAAAATAATGGAACAACCTATACAATTTCTAAAGAAATAATATAATTATGATTATTTTCATTGAAAAATTCCAAAGAAAACATGGTTTATAACTAAATTAAAAAATGGTTTGCATATAAACAGTTTCAAACATCAAACTAATTTCAGTTGCTTTGGCAAAGAAGAAATTAAATTCAATTAAATGCCAAAAAGTAAAATTATATTATTTAAATGAGAGCACACTTAAATATGCCATCAAATTGCACTTGGGCACTGAATTTGAAATATAAAAATCTATAAATAATTAATTAGCTACAAAACTGAACAAGAATTTGGAAATCTGTTTATTTTAAACAGTCTATCTCTAGTTCAGGTGATTTAGCAAACAGTAATCATTTAATAATTGAAAGAAAATAATGCTTCCTAATTTTTGATATTTTGGGCTCAAGTTCACTTTGTTTGCTGCACCAGTATTCTGTTACAATGTTTTAAAAGTAGTTTTTAATGCAAATTTTATTGCATGGCATGTGTTATAACTGTAACTGTATCTATTATTATCATTAATCATAACTGTAATCTAGAATAGAAGAGTAGCAATGTTGAATAAATGATGTTTGTGTACATCTTATAATCATCATTGAGCACTTATCCAACATATAAAAACAATACATGGCGTAGTGAGCCATAGTGTCACTTGTGAACAACAGTAAAGACATTCTAAACTAAAACATCATGGGAAAATCATTGGTTTACAGTGAAATGGAAACTTCCCTGCTGGTAAGTGCGTTGTTTATTTTTATTTGAAGTGGCTAAAAATACATACATATAAATTATTTAAAGTCTTAAATTAAATATGGATTTATTAAAGCCACCAAGTAATCTACATTTCGAAGGTAATTTAAGCGAAAATTGGAAGAAGTGGAAAAAAAATTCCAAATTTATATGTTAGCCTCTGGTGGTATTACTAAATCAACTTGAAATTAAAGTAGCTATTTTATTGCATATTATTGTCGAAGAGGCAGTTAAAAAGTTTAATACTTTTAATTTAAGTGAAGAAGATAAGAAGGATGTTGAGAAAGTAATCAAAAGCTTTGAAAAATTATGAAAGCAAACAAAAGTGTTGATAGACATATATTTTTCTGTCGAACACAATATCTAGGTCAATCGCTGATGATTTTTTAACAGATTTAAAGAAATTAAGTAGTAACTATAGATTTGCAGAACTAAAAGATAGTTTAATAAGAGATAGAATGGTAAGTGGCAATCTAAATAAAAATCTTAAAGCTAGGTTATTAAAGGAAGATCAGTTAACATTTAAGAAATGTATTAAAATGTGTAAGGCTTCTGAATTAGCAGAACTTCAGCTGAAAACTTTAACTGAAGAAAATAAAACAGAACTGATAAAACGGAATAAAATTACACCTTCAGAGGAAAAACGTCAGTCTTGTAAGAAAAAACATCATGTAAAACAAAAGCAACAATGTACTAAATCATTTTCAAACTATCCAGGGAATGCATATAATAATCCAAAAACCATCTAGAAAATGTGGAACTTTTCATAAGTTATACAACTGTCCTGCTTATAATAAGATTTGCTTGTACTGTAAAAAGAAAAATCACTTTCCTAAAATGTGCACTTATAAAAATGTTTATGTTGTACAGAATAATTTAGAGTATGGGTTGCATTATAATGATAATGAATATATTTTAGGGTCAGTAGACGATACAAATTCCATTTTCTAAAATTAGAACATAATGGTTTGAAAGACAAAGTAAATACAAATATTTATTTGTTAAGTTGGATACTGGTGCTCAGTGTAATGTGTTACCATTGCCTAAATTTAAACAATTAAATTTAAGAGATAAACATTTGACTAAATCAAAAGTCACTTTAAATAATTACAATGGTACTAGAATTGATGTAGTTGGAAAATGTAAATTATTATGTGAAACATCGAAAGAAGACAAGGACGAAGTAGAATTTCAAGTTGTAGCATGTGATAAAACTGTTCCAGTTATTTAGGTTTACCTACATTGCAAAAATTAAGCCTAATACAAAGGATTTGTACAGTAAATCCTGATTCCAATGAAAAGTTACCAGAATCTTTAAAAGAATATCAAGATTTGTTTAAAGAACTGGGAATTTAACTGGATATACATATCATATTAAATTAAAACCAGGAGCTGTTGGTAAAATAGAACCCTGTAGGAAAATTCCACTTAGCTTATTAAGTCCATTAAAAAAGGAATTAGCAAGAATGGAAAAAGATGGTATATTATAAAGAAAGTTAACTAACCAACAGAATTCATGAACTCATTAGTGGTAGTAAGGAAAAAGGATGGTAATTTAAGAGTGTGTTTAGATCCTCAGCACCTTAATGAAAATATACTGAGAGAACATTATCACATACCAACCTTTGAAGAAACTTCAACTCAAATGACAAATGTGTAGGTATTTAGTATCTTAGATACAAACAAAGCATTTTGGCAAATTAAACTGTCAGATTCCAGCTGTGAATTTACTACATCAAGGTTGCCATGCGGACTGAGCTCATCACCAGAAGTTTTTCTGAAATTTTTAGTGATTTAGAAAGAGTTCAAATATATATAGATGACTTACTAGTTTGGGGAAAAGGTAAAAAAGAACATGATTGAAGATTAAAGACGTTGTTGGACAAAGCCATAGAAAAGAATGTTAAATTTAATTTAAATCATTGTAAATTTGGGCTAAATGAAGTGAAATATATAAGGTACATATTTTCTAAAGATGGAGACAAAATTAAGGCTATTTTAGATATAAAAACCACCAAAAAATGTCAAAGAATTAGAAACTTTCATAGGAATGATTACATATGCTTCTAGATTTATATCTAACGTATCAGAATTGACATCCATGTTTAAGAGATTTGTCGTTTGTTATCTGGAACTGGAATGCAACACATGAAAAAAAAAAAAAAAAAAAAAAAAAAAAAAAAAAAAAACATTTAGAAGCCTAAAGGATGTCTTAGTAAATAAACCAGTTTACATTATTATGATAGAAGTATGCTAGTAGTTTTATCTGCAGACGCATCTCAAGAAGGACTAGGAGCAGTCTTACTGAAGAATAATTTACCAGTAGCATATGCATCTAAGGCATTAACAGATACACAGAAGAATTATGCTCAATATGAAAAGGAAACTTTAGCTATTGTATTTGCATGTGAGAAATTTCACCAGTATATATTCGGAAAATATATTACAGTGGAAAGTGACCATAAATGTTGGAATCAATTTTAAAAAGGCCATTAAATAAATGCCCAATAAGATTACAAAGAATGCATATAAGATTACTGTATCAGTTTAAGAAAAAATATAAACAAGGAAAAGAACTTTTTATAGTGGATGCATTATCAAGATCATTTGATAAAGGATCTGATTTCTTTGAAGGAGACATAGAAGCTCATGTTGGATTGGTTGTAGAATGTATACTAATATCTAAAGACAAAATGGAAAATTTTCAACTGGAAACAGAAAACGATCAAGAATTACAAGTTTAAGAAAATTAATTAAAACTGGATGGCCAGATGAAAAATGTATGGTTTTAGAACTGGCAAAACCATATTTTAACTTCAGAGAAGAACTATCAGAAGCAAATGGATTAATATTTAAAAATTCCTGTGTTGCTGCACCAAGAAGTTTACGAAAAGATATGTTAAGCAGAATTCATCATTATGGTCATTTAGAAGTAGTAAAATGCAAGAACAAAGCAAGCGAAATACACTGCTTACGCTGCATGACATTGAAAATGCAACACCAAGAAGGAGTGGTCAGAAAGTGATGAAATTTGGAAAAACGACAGAGACAGCATGCAGCAATAAGTGATCTTTATTTCAAAAAGATAGTCAGAATACAGGGTGAGAACGGCGTCAGCTCAGTAGGATGTAGGACCACCGCAGACAACGATGCACGAAGAAGAGTGCGGATGGTGTCCTGAGGGAAGGTTCTCCATTCTCTTTCAACCATTTGCCACAGTTCGTCTTCTGAACGAGGCAGGGGCAGAGTATGCAAACGGCATCCAATCACACCCCACACATGTTCGATTGGTGACAGGTCAAGAGAGTACGGTGGCCAGGTAAGCATCTGTATACCTTGCAGAGCATGTTGGCAGATGCGAGCACTGTAAGGTCAGGCGCTATCCTGCTGAAAAATGGCATCATGCAGCCTCTGAAGGTAGGCGATTGCCACCTGCCGCAGTACATTATCCAAGTGTCGTTGGGCCGTCATAGTGCCCTGAATACGAATTAGAGGTGACCTGGAATCGTAGGCAATAGCGCTACAAACCATTATGCCACGCTGTCGCGCGGTGGGGCGTTCCACAGTTACTGCTGGAATAGATCTGTCTCCACGTCGGCGCCACACACGTATGCGGCGACTGTCACTGGATAAACAGAAGCGTGACTCATCTGAGAACACGACGTTTCGCCTTTCTGTCATCCATATCGCTCCAGTCCGGCACCCTTCTAAATGGTGGGGTCTATGCTGTGGATCAATGGCAGTCTTCTTAATGGACGCCATGAGTGCAAGCCACGTTCAACAAATCGATGGGAAATGGTTCTGGTCGACACGGGAACATCCAGAGTATCTTGCGCATGCTGCAGAATCGCGGTACAAGTGACTTGAGGGACAGCCATAGCTTGGCGGCGGATGCTTAGATCCACACGTGCTGACGTCACTCTGGCTGCACCTTACCCCTCCTTCTTCCCACATTTCCTTGCTCCAACCATGTTCGTCATAGCCGATGCACCGTGCTCGCATCCATGTGGGTATCAGCTGCAATTTGACATAAGGACCAACCCGGCCTTCTCAGTCCGTTCACCATACCCCTCGTAAAATCGTCTATCTGCTGGAAGTGACTTTGTTGACGACGGCCTGGTATTCTCTCCTATAACACGTATCCTCCGGAACTAAAACCAACTTTCTTCGATAATTCGTCTGGCAGAAATAATGACACGAATATTGCCCATTCTGCACGTTCCTTCCCTTATATGTTACTTCACGTGCGTCAGCGAGCTGCGCATTTCACATCATTCGCATAATTCAGCGACGTGCATTTATTCTAAAATTTGCATAAATTTCTGACCACTCCTTCTTGGTGTTGCATTTTCAATGTCGAGCAGTGTATATTGGCGAGGAATGTCAAAAGAAATTGAAGATTTGGTAGTGAATTTTCTAACATGTTTAAGTTTACAAAAGCTAATACTAAAGAACCAATCATATCTAAAGAAATACCTAATGGTACATGGGAAGTATTGGGAACAGATCTCTTTTACTTTCAAGGAAAGGATTATCTAATAGTTATAGATTATTTTAGCAAATATGTTGAAATTGGACATTTGGAAGATTTGTCATGTTTAGCAGTGATAAAGCAATTGAAATTAATTTTTGCAAGATATGGTATTCCAAAAATAGTATATTCAGATAATGGTTCCCATTATAGTTGCAGGAAGTTTAAAGAATTGGCAAGAAGATGGAATTTTGAAACCAGAACTTCAAGTCAAAATTACCCACAATCTAATGGAATGGTTGAAAGACATATTCAAACTGTCAAGCAAGTGTTATAAAAAGCTGTAATTGAAAACAAGGATCCATATTTAGTATTACTGGAATATTCCAACTCTCCTATTTCAGATGAAAGTAAGCCATCTTTAGAATTGATGTTTGGAAGAAAAGTAAATGGATTGATGCCTATAAAAGAGAATTTCATCCAAACTAAACAATATGAAACCATAACAACATTTACTGAAGAGACAAACTTTACAAAAAGCTATTATGATAGGAATGCAAAACCATTAAAACTACTGAAGGTAGGAGATCATGTGCACATAAAAGAGAAAGGGAAAAAACTAAATTAAATAGGTAAAATTATACAAGAAACAGAAAGACCATGTTCATACAGGATTATAGGAACAGATGGAAGAATTGTAGAAAGGAACAGAAGACAATTCTTAAAGGAACTGATCAGAAAGAGTTTGCAATACAAAACAACTATGAAAATGAAAGTCATGAGAATGAAGTTAATGATGAACCTGAGATATCTGAGCAGGAGCACTTCAAATTTAGATGTACCTGTAAGTTCTTCAAAAGCTAATAAAAGTGTTGTGCCACCAAATACTGAAAGAGTTATTGTATCACTAAATTTTTCAAATGGACATAACTACGTTACTCGATCTGGTAGGACTGCTAAAAAATCTCATTATTTAAAAGAATATGAATAATTTTATTTTTATTATTATTTCTGTTAAAAAAGGAGATGTTATATATGTAACTGTAACTATCTATTATTATTATTATTATTAATCATAACTGTAATATAGAATAGTAGAAAGCAATGTACAATAAACGATATTTGTGTAAATCTTGAAATCATCATTGAGTACTTATCCAACTACAGCATGACACTAAATTCTAAAACAAGAAGTTCAAAATACCGGTCTTTGCATTTTTAAAAAAAAAAAGTAATATGCACACTTTTACTGCATTTTAATTTCTAGTAGATAATTTCTGTAACGTTTTGTGCATTCTAAATTTCAGCAAAGAAATGAAGAAGCAACAAAGCAGCATAAGAAATTAGAAAATCATGCAAGTTGCTCTCTTTCAATGGATCTAGCAAGCATTATCTGAACTAAGTAATTTTCAGGATAAGCAAACATAAGTTTAAAAGACACAAAATGTCCTATATTATAATATAATAAAAAGAAATTTAATCTTTAGTTAAACATTCATTAGTAAAATTCTAAATGTGAAAATGATTTTGAATAAAAATTAGCGCAAAGAAGACATTGGGATGATATGTTGAAGCTTTGGAATCACATGTCAGTATATTTCTGATTTCCTCACCAATTTTCTAGAGACCGAGCAAGGATTTTTTTCAAGAATTTCACAATTTAGCACTTAAAATGCAGCTGGAGCCAAATTCCCCCTTTTCTAAATGAAGATGAACAGTACCGGATAAAATGCATAGTGAAAAAACACTCAAGAAACAGTAGCATGTAAACTATAAATTTGCCTTAAAAAAAATCAGAGCCAACTGAAAACTAACTATTGAAAGAAAGAAAAAGAAAAATGAGAGAATGTCAGTTTATTCACTTGAGAAATTGGAACCTCATAAATTGACCCCTAAATGTACATTTTTTCTTTTTTGCCATCATTTGTTAAACAGTTATAAAAATTTATAACTTACCAAGCAGCAATATCAAATAACCATCCAAAGTTAAAAGCAGATAATGTAGAATGTAATGGCTAGGACAAAAAAGCATTATATAAAAATTGTATTACCAATGAAGGAAACACAATTTAAAATTTTAAAAAAATCTTAAAATTACATATTTATCTAAATATACATACAAAAGTAGTAACTCGGAATCCAGCATTGGTTTTAACTTCATTTCTGCATTGCCTTTCAGAAGTGTAATCTTCATTCCTATGGAAAAAAATATTTCCATACTAGTAAATGAAGTCAATAATGTCTTTCAAGTTGAATGCTTGATAGAGAGATAAATAGAAAAACTGAAAACGGATCTAAATCTTCTAAATTATATGATTTTTTAAATTAACTTGTTTATACTGATATGATGCAAACAACACAATCATTCAAAAGTCAATGCAATTCTATCATCATTAAAGAATTTTACAGACTAATACACAAGTAAGACTGAAATTCATGTAAGAGGCAAGTAACATGTAACAAGTAATATGTAAAGATTACCGTATTTCCTGGTGCATAAGATGCACCCCATTTCTTATACACATTTTTGAAGGATAAAACTTTATTACTCATTATTATAATTCTGCAAAGTTCTTATGATTTTCTTAGTTGGGAGTGGCCCAAAATGCCTCCCTGCAGCCGTTTCCATGTTCTTTAGCATATGCTATGTGATAGCAATGCTGACGTTGTTTTTGAGCCATAACTTGCCAACAAATTTAAGAAAATTTAACAGTAGAAATTTCACAAACTTAAAAGACGTTCACAAAAACTGGAAAGTTTAAACAAACTGTGATCGTCGATGACAGAGCATGCACATTCACTAAGCTCTACATAACTGTAATATTCATACACTCCTCAAGGGAACAAGAAAAAAATCACATAACTCCAAATAGAGGAAATTTCCAGAAATGAATGTAACCAAAAACTGAGTATCCACATATAAGACGCACCCCGTTTTTCAGACCTATTTTCAAAGAAAAAAAGGTGCATCTTATACGTCGGCAAATACGGTAATAATTAAAAAAACTTATTTCCTTTTTCCACAAATGTAATACATCTTTAGTGGAAAGATTATATTAGGTCAGCATTTTTTCACTATGTAGGGTTACAGTTAGAATCTGATGACACAAAAAGCCAGAAACATTAATGTAACTACAAATATTCTACAATGCACTATTTATCAGAAATGTTCACATATGATACAAAGTAAATTATACATTTTTTTGACAGAAAATACAAAATTATAGAATAAATAATAAACTTCATTAATTTTTTCATTTATTGGAAACCCAAGAGTGTACTTCTTTATGTACCACAAAATTCACTATAATTTCCTTAAAAAAGCAAATTCAGATACTAACAAAGCAATTAAATACAACGGCATTACAAAATGTATGAATAAAAGAATTAAAAATATAAAAACTTGAAAACAAAAACTACATATTATAAATAAATTTCTGAAAGTCAGAATATGTTTCTTAAGTTTTAAAAATTCAGAAGGGATAGGTAATAAAGATATAGCAGGTCTTTTTTCAGTACAGTGGTCTCAAACTGGCAGTCCCCAAGGCAATTTATGCAGCCCCCTCAACACATTTAAGTTAATCATGTTTTAATACAGTGCTTACAGATTTCGATACAGCACAAATTCATTGTACAATGGATAGCAATATAGTGCTTATTAAGAAAATACAGAAGTACTAGAAAACATTTCAGCAGTTATTACATTTCAACAGAGTTTGAAGCTGGCACACAGTCAAAAGTATATATGCAACACTCACATCAGTGCTCTGACTGACCAATAACAGAGGTTAAGAAAAAAAGGACATTAATCATCACATCTTCAAAAATGACAATTTAAAATTTAAACAGCATTAGAGATACATGGATTTTGTTTATATCAGTGCGTGCTATTGCAAGAAAAAACTGAATAGATTTGCAATGTCAGGCTGCATGACTGGGCTAAAGAAGGGCATTAGTACAATACATTTATTCACCAGCCAACAGTAGGTAGAACTTTTATATTCAAGTGTGCCCATTTCAAACGCCCCCAATGAGTTGATACATTTACTTTCCTTAGGTAAGTAACTAGTTGGTAAGCTGTATGTACAGGTACACAATTCACATTGCTGAAGATAAATTAATGTATAGCCAGTAAAACCTATTATTTGTACTTATTGTTAGATCTATGTACGTATACCAATAACAATCATATGAAATTATGCAAAACTTTTGAGGGTTGCTTTTACATGAAAAATGATCATGCTCAATTAAGTTGTAAATAAGAATATAATTGTGATTTTCAATAAGCAATTAAACTGTATGAGATGTCTTTAACATAGGGTACAATGAAAGTGACAGAAGAAGGCTGTGTTTTTCAAGATAAATAACAAATTACATACTTTTGTTGTGTTGTGTGAAACAAAACTGTATAATTTATTTGTATTAAGAGAATATCAGTTGCAAAAGAATATAACTTATGTTCTTATTATGAAACTAATCATAAAGTAAAATTTGAAATGTTGGAAGGTAAACTGAGAGAAGAAAAATTACACTTTTTAAAAATGCTTTCATGGAAGCAAATAAATCCAGTGCAGCAACAGTTCAAGCAAGTTTTGCTTTTGTGCACATCACTGCAAAAAGATAAAACCATTTAGTGACGGTGAATTTGTTAAAGTTTGTTTGATTAAATCTGCTGAAGTTCTTTGTTCTGAGAAAAAACAATTATTTAAATATCCTAGTTTCTCAGCCAACATAGTAAGCAGAACATATTAATTAAATTGTGAAATTGTGAGTCATGTGTGATGCCAGTTAAATGAAAAAGTCATAGCTTGCATTCCGAATAGCAGTTGACGACAGCACCGTCATCATAGATATAGCACAGTTTACCATTTTTGAACAAGGTGTTACTGATGAACTTGAAGTTGCTGAGGAATTACTGGAAATAATTCACATTACAGGAAAAACTATTCCTCATAGAAAATTTTTTCTAAAATACAATACAGTATGAAGTCTGAAATCCGGACATCCATTATCCGGAATGATCTAAAATCCGGACCTCAAAACCACCAGCATTTTTTCGTAGGACTTTACGCATAGGCATTTGATTCCCTCCGCGCATAATAAAACATCTGGAGAGTCCCGATTCTTAATTTCACTTTAACACTAAATAAATACCTTGTTAGTGAATAAACAATCATTTTAGCATAAATTCACACTATCAGTAATTTGGTTCCATTGCTGCATATCTGCTTGGCACACATCTCAAACAGAAACATTTTGCATAGATACATCGTTGATCTGAAGCCAACATGGCGAATCATAATTTATTATACTTTCCTTTCATCACCGCATGTTTATCAACACATGACAACTTGAGTAATGACTCATGTAGCAATGCCTAAACAAATTTTTTATGTTAGTAACTGAATAACAAAGGATTATGTTGACATTATGCTTGGCGATGATTACAGATTTAAGTTAAATTTGCTAAACACTGTTGACGAGGAAAAATTTAACAAAAATTTCTTTCCATATGCTAAAAATAGATTTTATTGATGATACTCATAGACCAAAGATTACATTTAGGGCTCTTTGAATTAAGAATAACTGATTTGTTATTTACATAAATCCAGACCCAGCGCTAGGGCTCATAAGGCAGCACCAGGTCGCAGAATTTAGGACCAACAGAGACTGCATCAGGCAGTAAAATATCTAGTGCCAGCCATCAATATGGCTTAAATATATGTGGGAATTTATTTATTCAGAACTCTAATAAGCATGTGCAAAAAATAGACATAAGTATAATAAGTAACTAAAATAATACAATTCAAGCTTAATTGCCTTTGTGCATGATTGAAGCAAGATAAAATTTAATGGAACAACTTGTTGTTAGTCACCAAGCTCATGATGAATAGCCAAATATGTATAATGAACGATAGGCAAATCTGAAGATGATAGCCATAAATTTTAAAGGTTTTCGGATATCGCAAAACAAAGAGAAATTTTCCAATTAACGGATTTTGTAAAAAAATGTGGAGAAGCGGTAATAAATGAAGATGATACGAGGGCAATCCCCAAAAAAAAAGGTCTCCTATATTTTTAGATATACAAAGAACCGTTTATTTTCTATAATTGCTACATCACTTTAAAGATTGAAGAATGCTTTATTTTCCAACATAATTGCCATTTCGGTCAATGCATTTTTGTAGACGTTGTGGCAGTTTTACAATGCCCATGTCATATCAGCTTGCCGCCGTGCCCTTCAGGAAGCATCAATCGAGTCCAAGAAGACTTTTCATCTCCATAGCTGCGAAGAATCAAACCGTTGCCATTTGTGGTCTTCGGTCAGCATACGCAGCACCCATCTTGCACACACCTTCCAATATTGCAACTTTTCCGTTAAAATCCTGTGGATGGTGCTTCTGGAAACCTCAGGAACCAAAATGCAGAGAGCTTCCAGAGCGATCCTCCGATCTTTACGCATGAGTTCCACAACTTTCGCGATTGTCTCGTCGGCAATTGATGGCCTCCTGCTCCTTTCTTCGTCATGAACTTTAGTACGACCGGCTGTAAACTCTCTACACCACTTGCGAACGTTTTTGACATCCATGCACGACTGTCCATACACTTCCGTCAATAGGCGGTGAATTTCAACTGGTTTAACGCATTTTGCGTTAAAAAATCGAATAACTGCGCGCACTTCGCACTTGGCGGCAACGTTTATCTGGAGCTTCATTTCGAATGGCTGCCAAGCCAAGACTGAGCATCCGAGCGAAGCGCCTGCGTGCTTATGTGGTAGCGGAGAAGGCACCACTCACAACAGTGTTGCCAACAACCGTATTAAAACTTTCTGTACGTCCCCAAAAAATAGGAGACCTTTTTTGGGGGATTGCCCTCATATAAAAGAAGCTTTTGATTGTGATGACAATGCTTTTCAATCATAATCAATTAATAAATGGCGAAATCTGTACTATGGTTCTAGATCCAGAAAATAACACTACCGATAGTGAAGAAAGTGTTAGAGAAGTAACTGAAAACGAAAAAATTTCAATTGACAAGTTAGTCAGAATTCTCGACACAGCAGTTACAGGACTTCAACAATGTAACTAAACAAGAGATTATGTCTGTTTACAGAATTAAAGAGAAAGTATACGACAAGAAAAAACCAAGCAATTTAAACAACTTACATTGAAAGAAATGTTTAGTAAGGTAAATAAATATTAAGCTTTTTTTTTTTTGTAAATTTTGATACCCTTTAGATAATAAATACTTCATTATTTCTTAAATCACGATTTCATATTTTTAATTTTATAATTTCTACATGCCATCTTACTAGATTTAAACTGATGATCTAATATCCGAAAAAATCCCAAACCCGGAATCAACAAAGTCCTGCCGAGTCCAGATTTCGGACTTTGTACTGTATTATCTTTGTTGTTGCAAAGTTTAGTTTCTCTAGATCGGCAACTAGAAAAAAGCTAAAGAGTTAGCTTTGATGTTGTAACCCTAATGTCTTCTTTCATTACTGTGAATTAAAATATGCTTAATCAATTCTGGAATTATCATTAAAGTTATTAAATTATTGCTCTTATTGACTCAGCATAGTGTCCACAACAAGTCTAAAATTAAAAAACATAGAATTTTGAGCTATTTGAAAAGATTAACAGTAAAATACATCTAATTTTTACTACATCTGGAAGATTTTAACAAAGTTCAGACATATAAAATTGTTAAACACAACTTCAAATTAAATAACTCACTTGATGAAATCTCAGAAGTAAAACCAAAGCACCATCTAATTCAATTAGATTAATGCAATCATTCTTACCTCACAAAAATTTTTCTTTCAGATAATTCAGACATTATTTGAGGATCGGCAGCTCCAAGAAACTTCCCCAACTAGAAAATATTCACATCAATTACATTTAAAAGTGACATATTTAATCATAAAGGAAAAATTACGAAACCAGTCAATCCATACAAGAAAAATAGCCACAGAAAACATTTATTTTTTTAAGGCATATACTAACCACATTCCAAAGATCATCCTGGTTAGTAGAAATTATAAAACCACCATCATCTATAAGGTAGCAAACGATATAATCCTGAAAATAAACCAAATTCAAGTTTTCCTGTTAAACACTAAAACATTATTAAAACCAGAAACATTTACACATCTAAATAGTAAAAAAAGATATACTATATTTTATTTGTCGAATAAAAGCAAAATAAATCAGAATTAACTCCTATCTTGCTGAAATGTTAGCTTGAATACCACATTCTATGCAAAAATACTTATTTGAGTAAATAAAAGACATGCACATTATTTCTGTCAAATATCTTGTGCACATCAAATAATGGGGGAGAACATAATGTTTTTAATTTCACACACATTTTATTTCTTTCGCTAGATGCGACATAGTGTAAAAAAATATGCTATTTGCTTTAAAGTTTTTACACCTGAACTTATCTTTCCAACCTTTTTAGGCAAATTAGTCAAAGGAACCACATGCAGAATCTATTGTGATATTATGGCTGCCATACAGTATGATCAAATGGATAAATTTAACTATTATTTTTATAATTTTGTTCTTACCATAGCTTTTGTTTGAATCTATGGTACTTGTGTTTTAACCAGTTGTTAGCAATATGGTACTAAGAATCTACTGCTGCGGTTTAACAATGAAATGTATTTTCATGACAGTTTATTGATGAAACGGGTTTTTCAATTTCCAGCAGATATTACTTGACAGTTGCATCAGATAGATGTTATTCTCAACAGCTTGTTTTTATATGAAATTTACTGAAGAAGAAGGCATGTGAATTTCCTGGAACCAGCTCCCAATAGAACGATGTGCACCTATCTCTTCTCGTGGGAATCCAGGTGCATGATTCACCGTTTGAAGCTCCAGATAAAGAAAGGAAAGTTGTTTATTTAGTTTCGGCTTTGATATTGGATGGAAAAAAAAAATGCACTAAAGAATACTAAGAAAATTAAGCACTAAATGCCAAAAAATAAGTGCTTTAGAGAAAACGTAAGCACCTATAAGGGATTTATAATTTATTTCAAATATAAGGACTTATAAGCACTTGTAAGGACATCTACGCAACCTGAATTAGACATGTCGGGAAAGGCCATATATTGGCAGATCCTCCCCTCATAACCTTTCAACTTAATTTAATGTTGGAATCCTACTGCTAAGCAAGCACATGAAAAATTAAAACTGCTAGAACTGTTGTGGCTGCATTACAGAGCAAAATTTAGGGGAGACAAAATTTTTAGAATTTATCGAAGCACAAAACAACAAATCTAAGGAATGGCAAAATCTTTAAAATATTTAAGGAAGGCATTGGGATGCGAGATGTCTAACGTCAGCCCTGGCTAAGCCCTAAGCATATGTACAAATTTATTTATTCTGGACTCTGTTAAGTCTTAAGCATGTGAGGAAAATAGGCATAAGTATAACAAATAACTAAACTAAAAAAATTCAGGTTTATCTTCATCAGCATGTGATGGAAGCAAGACAAAATTTAGCGGAACAACATGTCTTTAATTAAGACACAATAACACGCCGAATAAATACTAATTCAGAAGTCAAACAACAAAAATCAGCGTTAATTTACAAGATTTTCACAGGACTAGTTTCGATGGTTTTACCGAACCATCATCTTCAGCTGCAAAACCGCAAATGAACAAGATAGGAAATAATGTTTAGATAAGATAAGAAAGCCTGGACAAGAATAAGCAAGTGGCGCCATCTGTTGGCGAAACCAGAACTAAAACATAATTTCTCTAAAAGCCGAAGGCAAATTTGGATTGGAATTAGGATCGTTAACTAGAACAGAAAGATTTTTATGAATGTGAAATGCCTCTAGAAAATCCAGTTCTCCAATGGAAGATGTTTTTTGAATAATTTTGGCAGCAGAAAAATTGAAAGTGTGATTTTCGGACCAACAATGTTGAGCAACAGAAGACTTCTGTGTTTCCTTTTTTCTAACATATGCCTCATGTTCTTTGACGCGAAATTTTAAGGCTCTCTTAGTTTGGCCAATGTAAATTAAATCGCACTGGCAAGGAATCCTATAAATACCCCAGGAATTCATATCCGGAATGGGGTCCTTGAGTATAGAAGTTGGAATTTTATTGATGGGAGAGTAAACAACCCGAAAGTTAAATTTCTGCAAAATATGTGCAACTTTATAGCTAATTGATGGAAAGAAGGGAATGACAACAGAATTTTTATAATCTCCTAAAATAAGAGTGTGGCTTTTAGTGTGTTGAGATGAGAATTTTTTAACTGCTTGATTAATAATGTTGGGTGAAAAGCCCCTGTCAATAGCTATTGCTTTTAAATAATTTAGTTCTTCATCAAGGGCTGGTTTGGAGGAGCAAACTTGAAGAGCACGGAAAACATAGGAATAAAATGAAGCTAACTTTTGTTTAATCGGATGACATGATTTAAAGTGTGGTGGAAGGCAAACCGATGAAGGTTTACGGTAAACTGTAGTACTGAAGTTGGATGTGTTACGTGTGACCAGAATGTCGAGAAACGGAAGAGAATTGCAAGTCTCAAGTTCAAAAGTGAACTGAATAGCAGGATCAATAGAATTCATTGTTGAAAGAACTCTATTTAAATCATCTTTATTACCTTCAAACAGGGTAAAAGTATCGTCTACGTAGCGGAACCATGCCGGGAAGTTTAATTTACATTGGCCTTGCCAGTGCGGTTTAATTTACATTGGCCAAACTAAGAGAGCCTTAAAATTTCGCGTCAAAGAACATGAGGCATATGTTAGAAAAAAGGAAACACAGAAGTCTTCTGTTGCTCAACATTGTTGGTCCGAAAATCACACTTTCAATTTTTCTGCTTCCAAAATTATTCAAAAAACATCTTCCATTGGAGAACTGGATTTTCTAGAGGCATTTCACATTCATAAAAATCTTTCTGTTCTAGTTAACGATCCTAATTCCAATCCAAATTTGCCTTCGGCTTTTAGAGAAATTATGTTTTAGTTCTGGTTTCGCCAACAGATGGCGCCACTTGCTTATTCTTGTCCAGGCCTTCTTATCTTATCTAAACATTATTTCCTATCTTGTTCATTTGCGGTTTTGCAGCTGAAGATGATGGTTCGGTAAAACCATCGAAACTAGTCCTGTGAAAATCTTGTAAATTAACGCTGATTTTTGTTGTTTGACTTCTGAATTAACATGTCTTTAGTCGCCAGGCTCATGAAACATCACTAACAGTGTACAGTGGCTGCTAGGCATGCTTTATTATGATGCTGCCAATTAGAAGATTTTCAGATGTCACAAACAAAAAGTGAAATTTACTAATTTATAGGATTTTGTGAATAAACTTGGAGAAAAGGTAATAAATGAAGATGATGTAACAGTTTTTCATCACGATGGCAATGCCCTAATCATGAATCAACTAATGGTGAATCTGTAGCATGGTTCTAAATTATGGAGCTTTGTAACTGAACAAGATATAATATCTGTGTATAGAATTAAAGAGAAAGTATCAGACACACACTAAAAAAAAGCAACTTAAAAAACTCCCATTGAGGGAAATGCTTAATGAATGAATGTTAAACTGATGATCTAATCTGTGGAAAAACCACAAATCCTAAATCGCCTGATGAGTCCGGATCATGGATTTTGTACTGTACAAGGTAATAGCCTTGTATTTTTTGCATTTATTCTGCACATGTAAATTATGTTCTGTTGCTATTATTTAAATATTATATAAGGATCTCTTGAATTTTTTAAAAATATTTTTAAATATGTTCTTTTGTTATTTTTTAAATAATATATAAGGAGCTTTTGAATTTTATTTTTTTAAATAAGATTCTGAAGCAGTTTAGTTATGTCTATCACAGAATTTCCTGATTTACTAAATTTTATTGCTTCCTCCAAGTGATTCATTAAATTGTGATTGCATCAAATTTCATAATACATACATACATATATATCTATTAAACAAGATGTACCATAAAATGCTTACAGTGTCAGAGCAGCTAACTGGTACTTTACCAGGACCAGTGGGAGTTGAAAGGAGATAGGGTTGAAGCCACAAAGGATCCACCATAACACCAACAACTAAAATTAAAATGATTTTTACATATAAAGAAGAAATTTGAAACATGCAATAATTAATATAGAAAATAAATGACTTTAATAGACAACATAAAAGGCAAAGAGTATGATTTACAGTCAATTAAACGCAAAAATTTTAAAAAATCTAATTTTTTTAATTAACAAAGAGTTCCGGGCGGTTTATTTGTTGTGCAACTTGTTTGCTAAAATTTATTGTGTAACTTGTTACTTTCTAATTGAAACTGATATTAATATTTTTTTTTTTAATTTAAAATTTTGGCTGTTCTCAAAGATTTTTTTTGAGTGCTAAAGATTTTACTAAATTGATTTGCAATTATAATTAACTTCAACTGGTAACTTATAATTATTAATGTCTAAAAAACGTTTTGAGACTAGAAAATGGAATGTGTGTACCATCACATACTTGCCAACCTATGACACTCAAAAATCAGGAGATTTTTTTAAGAAATCAGAAGATTTTTCACAATGTTAAAAAGACTTTTTAAATGATAAAAATATAGTTTTTAATAATGAATTAACTTTAAATAGTTACTAAGTCTTAAATGCAAGCAACACAAAAATACCTTAGACATAAAAAACATTTTTATTACTTGCATCGTTAAAAAAAAAAAAAAAAAAAAAAAAAAAAAAAAAAAAGACACTTTAATCAGTTTTTATACAAATGTTATGAACAGCGGCAGATTTTGCTTTCGCTAAGAAAGAAACTTCATAATTTTGTTCATAGCAATTGCCCCGTACGCCTGCTTTCACTAATAAAAGTTTTTCTAATGTGTCATCACTAATATTAGATCTAAATTTAGTCCTCGTTTTCGCAACAATACTGAAAATCCTCTCACACTCTGCATTACTATGGGGAACTGTCAAGATGGCCAATATAATTCTAGGGAACTGTCAAAATGGCCAATATAATTCTAGACAGTTCACTATATTTTAAAATTCCATCAGCACCTTTCAGTTTTAAAATTAAACTCCACTGGCTGTCAATCCTAGCTGATTTTATAACTTCATCCAAGTTTTCTAATTGTAAACTGCAAAATTGCGACTGCAGTATATCAGTAGCAACATCAATATCATCATCTTTCATGACTAAACGAAATAACAGAGGAAATCTGTTCAAAAAGTACCTTATATCAGAAAATGATGCATTTACTAGAGCAGAAACATCACAAACTTTAGCATGCAAAATCACTTCATCATTGACTGGAAATTTATGTAGTATGTAATCACACTCGACAGAAGTAACTTCTAACATGAAGATAAAACTTATTTTTGTCTTCTTCTGAAAGTTCTTCCACTACTTTTGTAGTTGCAGCTCCTATTACCAAATCTTCATCTTTCTTCTGATTTTCTATTTCACCATAAATCACATCATATGTATAGAATTACAAGACAAAACACAGACTGGTTTTACAAACTTTGATAAAATGTCTTTAAACAGATCATAAATCATTGACTGCAAAACATGAATTAATGGAATTCTGCTTTGTAGAATCGTGTGTTAAGAACATCGAATGATGGCAAAATTAATTGTAAAAAAACACAAAAAGCTTTGTTGAGGTCCGAAGAAAACAACATAAATATTCGTTCTTCACAAGATAAACTTACAGTAATCGGAAAATGTTTCGTGTGTTGAGCAATTTTTTTATTTTGAGAGAAATTTGTATCAGCTTTACGCTTATATTTTGCAGTATTATTTTGAGAACTGCCAGTTGAATTGCTGAATGATGCAGAAATCACTTTATTTTTCTCAAACATATTTTTAACAATGGAAGTAGTAACTACATCTCCATTTACTTTAGGTACTTTATAACTTTCAATAGAGCTGTTAAATATTTGCATAGTCGCCTGTAGTAACGGCAACCGCCGGCAATAAAAGGAGGTGCTTTCCTTAGTGGCACCGCAGTTCCTTTTAGTTCGAGCCAGAATAGACCTGCCCGGGAAGAAGCCAGGGGATGAGAGATTCCGGTTTCCGCCCTGTTCCGGTTCCCGTCTTGTTGCGGATCCAGTCCTGTTCCGGTTCCCGTCTTGTTGCGGATCCAGTCCTGTTCCGGTCCTGATCCAGTCCTATTCCAGTTCCAGCCTGGCCGTTTAAGTCCAAAACACGTAGGAGCGGATGTCTGAATTCAGCGAAATGGAGATATACGCCGAAAGGGCTAGATGGATTCTGTCTTTTAAGAGAAAGTGTTCTTCACCGTGCCGGCATAGCTGTTACTTTAAAGCACGTTGAAGTTTTTCACCCAAGATGTTAAGTTTTTGTTTGTGATGTTAAGTTTTCATCAGTGTTGAAGTTCCAGTTAAATAAACCTTTAAGTTTTAGACAAGGTTTTTGTGTTCTTCAGAAAATTTTAGATTCGAAGTCAGATATATAAAATAACATTAACATAGGATTATTATCATGAAGAAATCAACATTTGGCCTCCGCGGCAGGACATTGTCTGCAAGGTAAGCGAACTTTTTTATTTTGAATCATGGAAGCTTTAAAGGTAGCATGAACTCAGTACAGAAGACTTATTTACTAAAGCTGTGTAATGAATTTGATAATGAAGAAACTAAATTTAATCAGGAAGAAAAAATAACTAAAATAAAAGTTATTGCTGAGAAAAGCTAAAGTTTTGTTTGATACTGACATGAAAATATGAGAATTAATGTTTAAAGAAATTACAGGATGAGACATAGTATATATTAAGGAAACAGATGAATCTGAATTATATTTTGATAGGTGGAGACTTATGGAAGAGTAAAGTAAAAGATCTCACTTCTGGAACCCCGAATGTAACTTTAATTGATCCATCCTTTATTCAGAATAAAATGTTACATTATCCAAAGATTAATTGCCTATCTTTGACAGCAACGTGAAGAAATGGCTAGAATTTTGGGGGCAATTCCAAAAGATGATAAAGATTCTACATTAGATAATAATGATAAATTTGCTTTATTTAGCACAGGCTATGGAGAAGAATTCTCCTCCGCAGAGGAAACAGTTAAAAGCTTTCCGCCAATTGGCGATAGTTACAAGAGCGCAATCGAAGCATTGCAGACGCGTTTTGGTAACAAAGGAATTACTTAATTGGAGATTTATATTCGTGATTTGTTAACCCTTGTTATTCAAAAACAAGGTGCACACTACGCTCTTTAAGGAAATTGTATGATGAACTTGAATCTAATCTTAAGAGCCTTGGAGATATTGGGAATAAATAGAGGCCAAATATTGCACGCAATATTATATCCCATTGGTAGAATCAGCATTGCCGAATGAAGTACTAAAAACATGGGAGAGACTTAGGTTTTCGCGTAAAGGATCAGAGAAGGTTTAACCGGAGAAAACGCTGAGTTAAAAGAAAGGGAATCTGACCTTGAGCGCCTTTTATGTTTCTTGCGTGGTGAAGTTGAAAGCGAGGAAAGAATTTCTTTAGCAGCTAACTCTTTCAATGTTTTTGATCGATTGACTCACGGTAATAAGAAAGGGAATTCGGGTTTAAAGATAAGAGAACCTCGCTTAAAACCTACGGCAGCTGAACTGTTTACTTCTTCTAATGAAGCTAGAAAGGAGGCTGCATATTTTGTTCCAGTATAAATCATGGTTCTGCGGAATGTTTTCAGGCGCGTAACTTATCGTTGTCAGAAAGAGAAGTTTTGGTCCAAAGGACACGCTCTTGTTATCTGTGTCTGAAATCTGGACATTCTGTCAGGAGGTGTAGATTAAAAACAGTTTGTTTTACATGCGGCAAAAGGCATCATATTTTTCAATGTAAGGGCCATTCACAAAAGAGTGAGACAAGGGCAATGGAACAGCCTCCAAATCAGGCTGAAACACTCGCCAACATTTCTTCAAGGTCTCTTAAAGTTTTGCTGCAAACAATAGAGTAATAATTAAAGGAGATAAAAATCTCGTTCGCCGGCTCGAGCTATAATTGATACTGGTTCTCAAAGGTCATATATTCTACAAGTGCAGCTCAAGATATGGGTTACAGGTATACGGTAAAGGAATACCTTAGCCACGCATTATTTGGCGGTACAACGACCAGTTTGTGTGAACATAAAGTTTACAAAATTCATTTATCTAATATGTCTGGCTCTTACAGTTGTAATTTTGATGCGTTAAGTCAGCCTGTTATTTGTAATAATATACCTTCTATTGGACAAGGAATATGGCTTAAAGAGCTTGCTGACTGTGGAATAAGTTTAACAGATCGTTTAGAAGGACCCATAGAAATTTTAATAGGAGCCGATGTTGCAGGACGATTATTAACGGGGAAACCGTAAACAAATTTTAAACGGTCTTGTAGGCTATTGAAACAAAGTTAGGAATGGACGGTTATGGGAAAAACCGGTGGAGTTGAATAGTGAAGGTTCAACATTCTTAATTACATTCAATGTTGAAATAAAGAGGCTTGTATTTCTGATTTATGGGCCCTTGACTTCGCTTGGTATTACGGACCCATATCCGAACAAAAGAGTAAATTGGAATTGTATGAGGCTACTTGGCAACATTTTCTTAGTACTGTAAAAATAGAAGATGAACCGCTTTGTAGTGTCTTTGCCTTGGTTGGAAGGGCACCCTCCCCTGTCAGATAATTTTGAGTTATCGCTTAAAAGGTTGCACGGTAATGATTAGGCAACTTGAAATAGATAATCTTCGCCAAGAGTATGAAAATATATTCCAAGAATGGCTCAAAGAGGGCATAACAGAGGAAATACCCGTATAAATTAATTAGATTTACCCCATCATTATTTACCACATACACATGTTGTTAAGGAACATAGTACTACGAAATGAAGTTACGGCCAGTATTTGACGCTTCTGTCTAAAGCAAGGGGTTATCCGAGTCTCAACGAATTGTCTTGAAAAGGGATTAAACCTTATTGCATTTTATTCCTACAATCTTTAAATAGATTTCACCAAGAAAAATAAAAAAAAGTGATTTCTCATATTCGTAAGGCCTTTCTATAAATTGGCCTGAATTTCTAGTGACAGAAACTTC